TTTGACCTTGAATACAATTTTTTCCATACAGGGGAAAAATGGAAAACTTCTAAATTTTATTCCTAATCATATTTCAAACAATCATATTGATTTTCAGCTTGGGGGGAATTTAGGTAGCTTCACTCTTAATTTTTGGTCTAATTTGACCGGCCTAAATCTGTCCAAAACAGTCACTTCATCCCCTGAAGACGCCTACGTGGTTGGTGAAATGCGCATCGAGAAGAGTATTGCATTTTTGGTGATTGGTGAAAGTGATTGTTTGGGATCTGCTTTGCGCCAAAGGTTCCAGTTTTACATTTTTTTCTATATTAGTAGTACTTCAAAACTGACGGTATGGAATTATAGAATCTGATAACATTCCAACATACTTAGTGCCGTGTGGCCATTTCAAATACGAATTTCCACTCCCTTTTGAATTTGAATGTATTTGAAATTTCACAAAGGTATTAACACTTCGTAACAGGCCGACGCCACCGTTTCGTACATCCTTTATATCTATCCATCCTTTAAATACTATCTATCGACTTTCACTATAAATCTCTATTGAATTTGTCATATTTGTAAACTATTTTGTAGACGTGAAAACTGCATGAAATATAAAGATCTGCATGTAGCCTGTTGTAGCGTACATGTAGCCTATTGGATATATGACGTTTGATAATTGCGAAATTATGTATATTTAGGAACTTTTCAAGGAAGTTCAAATCAGATAACACATTCCTCGTAGATTTCACGTATATTTCACACAAGTTTTGTGGTTGAGACAATAATGTGGCATTTTCTAATGATGAGTTCAAATAACTACTTCAGTGTTCGAAGTTTTCAATAAAATAATGAAGCTAATTGGCAGAAAAGTCCCGGGCCTGAGAAAGAAGACGCGTTTCTTTGTTCAAAATTGGCTTTATTCATCAACGTAATCTCCATCAAGAGCCACACAATCATCCCAGCACCGCTCCATCATTTCAATACCACTTTTTTTGCTTGAAAATAGTCCTCTTCATTCGAGCGAACCTTCTTACCGGTGAGCATTTTCTTTTGAGGTCTTCGAACAGAAAAAAGTCTGTGGAGGCCAATCCTAGAGAATACGGTGAATGCGGAAGCAATATGCAGCCCAATGCATGCAATTTTGCTATTGTTTTGATTGACTTGTGACACAGTGAGTTGTCACAATGAAACATTTCATTCTTTCCAATATGCGGTCGTTTTTTTGCGATTTCGGCCTTCAAACGCTATATGATATGTACTGTTGATGGTATTCTCCTTTCCAAGATAGTCGATGAATAAATATTACACCACGCACATCCCAACTCAGCAACTTTTAACGCTCTATGAAGCTCAGATCAGAACTTCTTTGGAGTATTGTTCTCATGTATGGAGCTCCGCCACCAAGCATACCCTGAAGCTGCCGGATTCCTTCCAGAAAAGAGCCATTTTCCTGTGTGGAGACGCGAAAATCACTTGCAAAATTGATACTCGGGAATATCGACGAAAGGTTGGAGATTTGTCTCTCTTCTATAGATAGTGTCTATAGTGACTTGGTACATATAATTCCACCAACAGCGGTAAGTATCAGAAATACGCGACGGACTGTGGCTGCTCATCGTTTCGAGGTTCCACTAGGTACACTTCGAACTTCACTGTTTGAGAACCCTTCCATTTGGAGAACTGAGTGTATGTGGAACAGATTTCCTGAGAACGTTTTTCCAAATGAATTTAATCTCCAGGGATCAAATCCAACGCACAAGAACCGCTCTTAGAGCGCTTTTAGGATTTTCCTGTAGAGTTTGCATTTTGTTTAAAAAAAATACCAAGGTCATAACCTTCCCAGCCGATTGTTGTGCTTTCGGGCGCTCTGGACGAGGTTCAACAGTTACTCCCCACTCAGATGACGATCGTTTGGATTCCAGAGTGAAGTGATGGATTCATGTTTGATCCATTGTCACATATCGATGCAAAAATCATGGTTTGTTATGTTTAAACATGGCCAAACACAGTTCAGAGTCTTCAAGACGTTCTTGTTTTTTGTCAACAGTGAGCTCCCGCGGCACCAATTTTGAAGAGAGTTTTCTCATTGTCAAATGTTTTTGATATCTTTACAATGCAAGCTAACTCACGAAACTTCACTTTTCGATTATTGAAAACGATTTTGTGGATTTTTTAAAAGTTTTTTGGTGTTACTGCCTCATTTGGACGTCCACTGCGTTCTGCATCATCGGTGTCTATACGACTACGTTTGAAGTCAGCAATCCAAAATAACAAAATTAGTGTCACTCTCAGCACAGTAACTCACGAACTTATGAGTAGAATATCATGCAATTTCAACGGCTTTCTTTTGAAGGTTAGTTGAGAATATTTCACTCGTGATTGAACCCAGTAGGTACCACTGTTGAGATCCAAGGTGAATCAAAGTAGCGCTGTCTTTTATTGGATCATGAGTGCATTGCTTCTGGATTTTGGTGTCATTTAATTAACATACCATCAACAAACTAGACGAATATATTTGAGTCGTTCAACAACAAAGAAACTACGATTATATCAATATTTGGAAGGAATCGTCATTATTTTCTGGTAAAAACTATTATTTTTAAATGACTAATTCCATCCGATGCCTTCCTGAACCTAAAATCAGTGCAATTAACTCACCGATAAATCCTCAGTGTTGACGCAGGTAGTATAATTGACCCAAGTTTTGTTGTATGGCTCATGGAAGTACCAATTGCCATCTTCTTCACATTTGTAGTAAACAGTTTCTGCAAAATGAAAAAATAAAACTGTATCGGACTGTCAAATATTATCCAATCATATTTTTCATCTTAATGAAACAAGAACTAATTTCAATACATCACTGTCATTCTGTTCGTAAAGCAGCTAATTTTATGAATGATATAATGTATTTGCTTGCATGGTAGAGTGAATATGGGTAATTTGAAATACTGAAGTACCCAAGTTCCTAGTAGCGACATATTTTAAAAAGCCCTGCTATCAGATAGTTTATATACTAGTTAACGAATATGACGTGGCTAACAGTGCGCCATGTTGTCAGTGTGGTTGCACTCATCAATCGAGTGGAAGTGCTATTTGTGAAGGTTTTCAAGTATCTACAGGAAATTAACTGTGAAGGCAAAGATCTAGGGTCGGATCAAAAGTCTGTAGAATAGACGATCTGAATTGAACCTAAAAAACAAACTTACGATCACAACACGATGCTCAAGCATGTCATCATATATTTTTCAGGCGTCTGGGGACAAGCGGCTCCGTCTAACATCTCCATTCTGGAGAGATTACCAATAAGCTAATACGGATGATTGTGAATGCTCCGTGGTTTATGCGGTATGAAGACATCCGCAGAGATTTGCAGCTGCCTTCCATCAAGCGTCCATTCAGTCGAGGAATCGGTGAGTTTTTGATTGTGCGGAAACTCGCGGTAATCCGTTAGTTAGAGAAGCTATAGATTATGCTGTAGACGACCCCTTCCGATATAAAAGGCCCCGACACTCTGTCGAAAGAGGCCCTCATGTCCCCCGTTAACAGATAAACAATTTTTCATCCACCTCACCCCAGTCAGTTAGGAGTACACCGTGAAGGTGTTATAACAAGATGGACCAAAGAAAAAGGGCCTAACATAAGCCCATCAAAATCGACCATAGTAGCATTCACCAAGAGGACTAAAACGGAGGGTATCGGACCTCTAAAACTTCGAGGTGAAGAAATACAAGTGTCGGGGGAGGTTAAATATCTGGGAGTAATTCTAGATTCCGAACTGATCTGTAACCAATACTTGGACAGGATAAAGAGGCTATACACGATGGTGGTTAAACACATGATAACATACGCATCTCTGGTCTGGTGGCCAAAGATGAAGCAGGCGACCGCCATCAGCAAACTAGGCAAAGTGCAAAGACTTGCATGTTTGGGAATGACGGGACCAATAAGAACCACCCCAACAGCTGCATTGGAGACACTCCTGAATCTACCTCCTTCACACTTTGTGATAATGGGGGAGGCCAGGATGGGCCAATTCAGACTGGAAAACTCACCGAACTACAAAAGATCGGACCGAACAGAAAACAGAACAAGTGCACATATTGAATATGTGGACGGACCACATGACACCGAAGTACACCTTTAACACAAACTTCACGGCCAAAATCATAAGCAGTTAAGAGTGGAAGACCATTAGTTATCCCGAAAACATGTTTGGAACTGAATGAACTTACAAACAGGAACAAACTAACTTTGTACTGGGTGTCAGGGCATTCAGGAATCACAGGTAATGATAAAGCTGATGAATGCGCTAGACGCGGATCATCAACTTCATATATAGGTCCTGAACCAGCTCTAGGGGTACCAAAATCATTGATACGAAACCATATTAAGACATAGACCAATAAGAAGCATACAGAGTACTGGGCAAAAGTACCTGGCAACAAACACAGTAGAACCTTTATTAAGGAACCGTCAGAGAAAAGAACCGAAGAACTACTTCAATCTAGTAGGGATCGGCTCAGAATAACTACAGGGTTACTAACCGGTCATTGTCAGCTTAGAGGACACCTGAATAAAATGGGGCTGTATAACAGCTGCAGATCATGCAACGAAAAGATAGAAACAGCTCTACACTTCTTATGCGAATGTGAGGCACTGAATCACAAGAGGCAGGCAATGAATGGACGTACTAAATTACGTCCAGAAGAATATGACGAACATCCAACACGGAACCTGTACAAACTAGTACAGGAAACGAGACTGATGGAATGGGTATCATGAGAAGATGGGAGAATAAACGCAATAATGCCAAAAGGCTGCAGTGTTTTCTGGAGACTTAGACTAAATGGACAAGTCAGACAGCTCCAAGGTACCAAAAAATACGAAAAAAAACACTGATGTCAGATGTCTGGCGGGACTGATGTCTTAAGACTTTCCCGCCACCACCTTTCAGTCAAAACCCATTTGTCCCTCTGACAAAAATCAGCCACAAGGGTAAGGAAGCTAGGCTCCAACCTGTCTGAACTGAAGATGACATTGGTCTACAGAAAGTAGGTGACAAAGTGATTGGCATCACTTACGATGCCTTATGTAGGTGTGTAATTTATGAAAACATCAGCTGAATTTATGGTTTCGAAGGTTTCGAATTCATATATTTGAAGAACACTCGAAATGTAAACACCCTCCCAAAAAATCATCTCAAGAGGACGTGTCACGTGTTAGGTGAAAGAACGGATGTCAGTCTGTACTTTCCGATGCCGATTGCCATACTGAATCTCGGCCATTTACTTTTTTTTAGTTCACATGTCATGAATGTAACTAAACATTAATAAAAGACCTTCATTATTATTATTATTATCATATACGATTTTATATATTAAACCATAGTATGAAGAAATATTACTATGAGTTAAATAATGTAAACCGTCACTGCCATAGATAACTGTGTGAACGTTATTTTTCGATTTTTTGGCCATGTCCTGCAGTTTTTCATACCTAACGTTTCGTCTACTAGTGCGGTAGACATTATCGAAGGCCATGTAACGGTTGCAGTGCCCGAGATGGTGCTCGAGCTGTTGTTTCCGTCGTTTCGGAAGCAAAAACTATGATGCTCAACAAAGAAAGCACTCGCATTATGCCATTAGATAATACTCAAAATAACTTCCCAAGAGTATGTAAAGGCAATAGAAATTGAAAAACATAGGGATAATTTCAATAGAAAAGAAGAGGCAATGAACATCAATAAAATCTGGCTACTTGACCTTACAGGTACACAAACAAAGTAATCCAATTAGGAACAACCAAGCCACGCACACTATTAGTAATATAGAACCAGAGTCAAATACGAGAATCTTAGTTAATGTGGTCACTACGACGGGAACAACAACTCAGGCACCAACTCGGGCACTGCCACCGTTACCATATCGCCTTTGATAATGTCTACCACAGTAGCAAACGAGATGTCAGTCATAAAAACCTGTAGATCCAAAAAAAAAGCTTCTTTACACAATTACTATGAATTGTTGATACTGTTGTACGACACTAGACTATTTGATGTTTTAGGAAGACTAGAAATAGTGAACTGTACGTCGAAAAGTAATTCCCATTATTCACTCCTTCATACATCATCCCAAACAAAACCATGAGAAAATTGATTATCAGTGATAGAATAATAATGATAATACAGCAGGTGAGAACGAAATCACTGTATACAGAGACCCATTCAATTGTTTACGAGGTGAGAAATAGGAAAAAAAATATTTGAAAATGTACTCACGGTTAACCAGAAGTGAACCCAGATAGGTATACTTTTTTGAGTGTCTATTTGTCATATGCTTACTCTGCGATTTCCTATAATATCATAGTATGAGGGCGAGGGCGTGATATTCAAAGGGTGTTTGTATTACAAAAAAGAATATTGCGATTTATTTTTGACCTACCTTATCAAACCTCATGTCGCGATGTATACAAAAACCCAAAAATTCTTTTTGTTACTTCTATTTACTTATATAAATTACTGAGCCATATCTACCGAAAGCGAAATAAACTGCCAAAAAATTTTGATATTCACAATCATAATATAAGGAATTTAAACGACTTGTTGCAAAAAAAATCGAACCACACTTTCCACAAAAAATCACTTCTGATGACTGGAGCGTCCTGGCTTCCTGATAGTATAAAAAATAGTAACACATACGGAATTTTCAAAAGTAAATTAAAGAATATTTTAACGAATCATTATTTTTATAGCTTAGAGGAATTTGATGACTTCCTTTATAGCAGCTAACTGAGTGCATAGTGTTAATTGTGCTTTATATTTTTTTCATATTTATATCAATATGTCTTATATATTTGTTTTTATGTGTCATTAAGTAATATGAAGTATGTATGTAGTATGTCCATGTATGTAGGTATATATACTCTATTTTGTTAATGTAAATGATCGTTTAACCTGTAAACTAGTACTTCAGGAGTAATTTCTTTGTAATAAGTGTGTGGCTTTTACACCTCATCAGACACGTCCAATCCATTGTATGATAAGAAAACGTTTTAAATATAATTTGATTCGATTTTATTTGATAACCCAAGTAAGGAATTTTAAAATACCTAATATATTTTTTCCGACCATTCGATCATTCGACCAACGATATAATACATGTTCTCATTTTTATTCAAATATATACAGGTTTCTTCTTCAAACTCTTGACTTCAGGGCAATACTGTATGGATTTTCAAGTGTTTTATCATCAAAAATATCTGCTTCAGTAAATTATTACTTCATTCCAAATTTTAAATTTCCTACCCCATAACAACTGAATGGTACCTTGTACAATTATATCGTTGTCACCCTGTATACAATATAATAATTTACGGCTTAATAATTAATGAATAGTATCTCTAGCCAATTGAATTATGGATTAGGTCTCTTTCCTGGTTAATATATGTTGGCAATGTAAAGAGAACAAAATTTGACGTTTGTTTGTTTTTTTTTTCAGCTCGTGTTAATAGTTCAATTTTTTGTTTTTTTTTTTGTTTTGCTTGTATGTTATTTCATTGTAATTTCGGTATTTTGCTTAATAAAATTGTTTTTTCAGCTTCCATGTTGGGAATCACACGTTAAAAGGTAAGATGTCGTTAGTCCTTAGCTCGCACAAGTTTTCGTTTGTATGGGGGCGACAGCTGATTAAGGGAAAAACAGATTTTGAACAGATTTTTAATCCTTTTGATTTTTAACAGATTATTTCAGGAGTTTCAAATCAATTTA